GTAAGACAAGCCGAACATTTTGCTGTGCTGTCTTTTTTAAACATCTGACTTTGACAGCCCTGCTAGCCATGCTTAAAATAGATCCATTTTGGAACAGGTTATTTGTCATGTGCCAGCCACGTGCACGCTAGTGTGTGGGCTCTGAAGGGCTTGGCTTTCCTTCCCAGCCTGTGATGGAGTAGTAGGTCAGTCTCCTCTATACCTTTTCTCCCCATACATGAAATGCAGATTTCAAAGTGTACCCCAGGCAAAGCCCATCTGTGAAATAAAATGCAGCATGCTATATTTAGCAGTCCACTGGTGATTGCCCTTGCTTTGGTTTGTGGAGAAGTACTCTTCCTCACATAGGCATAAGCAGCTTGAGACCTTGCTCTCCCAATATTCCCTGTAAAACCAGTTAGACCACCTCCTAGCCAGAGCTGGTTCAACCAGCAACAGCGTTGAAAAGCTGACATTAATTAATCCCCTCCTCCAGATCTCTGGAGATGTTCCACTTCCTGCTCCAGTACAGCTTTACTTCAGGTTTTCTCTGTCTTGAATCTGTTAAGCCAAAGCAATGGACTTACCTGATTTTACTCTACTGTCCTCCTCCTTTGAAGACATGGCCTTAGTATCAACAAAGCTAAGATGGTTCTTTTATTTTATTTTGCAGTACTGGGGATTGAATTTAAGGCTTCGTACTTGCTAGGCAAGCATTTTTTTTTTGGTGGGGGGGTGTCCGGTCATGGGGCCTGAACTCTGGGCCTGGGCGATGTCCCTCAGCTCTTCAGTTCAAGGCTAGCGCTCTACCACTTGAGCCACAGCACTACTACTGGCTTTTTTCTTTTTGCTTATGTGGTGCTGAGGAATCGAACCCAGGGCCTCAGGCATGCAAGGCAAGTGCTCTACCACTGAGCCACCTTCCCTGCCCCACTAGGCAAGCATTTTGATCACGAGCTACACCTTCAGTCCCTTTGCTTGTAATTTATTATTGGGGGAAAGGGTGGTAAGATCTCTGGTAAATGTTGCCTTGGACCACCAGCCTCCTGTTTCCACCTCCCAAGTAGTTGGGATTATAGGTATGTACAAACCAAACCCGGTTCTTCTAAGACATCTTCTGATATCCAAACATTTTATCATCAGACACCATTTTCTTCAAATGGTCTTCCAAGCCTCCATTTTAGACTGTCAGAATTCCATCCTTATTCAAAGTTTCAGTTTAATAAAACTTGGTGGAATCATCCTCTCATCTCACCTTCCAAAAGGGAACTGTCCTGTCACTGAGCCCTGAAAAAACACCTTCCTTTGGGACCTGCTGTGTCCTGGGCAGAAACAGCACCTTGTCACCTGGGACAACAAGGCTTTGGAGTGATGTGGTAAGCAGGCTCTGGGTTTGAGTACATGCTTGGTCTATGCACTTTTCTTGCTGTGAAAAACTGCAAAGGGAGCTGGATGCTAGTGACTCATGCTTGTCATCCTAGCTACTCAGAAGGCTGAGATCTGAGGATTGTGGTTTGATGTGAGCCCAGGCAGGAAAATCTGAGACTCTTATCTCCAATTAATCACCAGAAAACTGGAAATGGAACTGTGGTTCAATGTGATAGAGTACTTGCCTTGAGCAAAAAAGCTCAGGGACAGTATCTAGGCCCAGAGTTCAAGCCCCTGGACCAGCTAATAACAACAACAACAACAACACAATAATAATGATGATGATGATGATAAAAAATGCAAAGAAAGGATGTAACAATGTGGAATTCATATTTTCTATTTGAGATTCTACAATTGAGGTTCTTAGCAGGTCTTTAGAAATCTATAAAACCCTGAACTGGCAAGCAAAAAAATTTTTTTGTAGATCTTTCTATGTTGCCTATTGAATTCTGGTAAAGCTAGCTCTAAAGCTTTCATTGGATTCTCAGAGAGATCTGTTGCCCACACTAGGTTAGGAATGGTGAGCTCCTGCAGGTGTAGAAACAATCAGAATGACACTTATTACAGGCACACTGTGTGCTAGAAACTGGGCGGGGCTTGTTCCATGTATCTGCCTTCCTCCTTGTCACCTGGTGCAGTGGTTCGTGTCATAAAAGTAATAATCCTGATAGCAGTTGTCACAGTTTACGTTGACTGTGTGTGTTCTGCATTCCAGTCGTGAGTGTAGATGCACCATCGAATAACCCTCCCTATTTCTATGGGCAAGTATTGTATAGGATTTTTCCCATGTTACAGATGAGGAAACCAAAGTATGAACAAGTGATGTCAACTGTTTGCGTTGGCTCAGCGTGGGGCAGAGCTTCATGTTCAAACCCAATGTGTGGGCTTGAACACTTGCTCTCATCCTCTGTTGGTGGCCACAGCTGATATGGAGGCCTCACTGCATGCAAGCCTGGATAATTGGTCCTCTCATTTTTGTCCTCCATTGAAGTTAGATGTTTCAGTGACTCATCAAGGTTATAGATCTAGAAAGTAGAAAAAGCCAAACTTGAACCTACATCTATTTGATTTCAAAACTTGGGCTGTTTCTATTTTGTGCTCTGGCTTTGAGTCCCTTTACTCAATCCCTCAGGGCAATGTTGAGGCTGGAGAGAGAGAAAAAGACTTCTTTTTGTAGAGGATCCAAAAGGACAGAAGAGGCAGAAACTGTCCTCCATGAAGACAAGGACTGGACTTGTCCCATTACTTAATTTGTCCAGCAGACAATAATAATTGTTAGTTCTGTCAATTGGTATATTTATAGACAGGCGATTCTAGGGCAGTTCGTTCAGCTGCTGACAGTAGCAGGTGCAATATATATGTCCAGACAGATACCACATGAGTGATAAGACCCACTGACTTACAAAAGGAAGGAATGGGACTGTGCCAGGCACAACTCAAAAGAGCTTTAAAAGATTTTCATTTTGTTAAATCTCAAATTCACCCCCCCACCCTTGCTCTAAAGTGCAAAAAGGTCACACAGCCATATTGAGCATGGCCATGCATGCCTATAATCCCAACAGGATTATAGGAAGCTGAGACAGGAGGATCCTGAGTTTTAGGCCAACCTGGGCTATGTAGTAAGACTCCTATCTAAAAGGAAAAACTGAAGATAAGAAGGAGGGATGGAGAAAGGAAGGAGGAGAGAGGGATGGAAGGATGGTCACACAGTTACTAGAGCAGTTGAGTTGAAGTCTAGGTAGTGTGATGAAGATGTTCACTGCTCTGTCCTACTTAGGATTGTGTATGTGCCAAGGTAGAGGGAAATGCAAGCAATAGAAACACCCCTGGAATAGAATCTCCTTGACCAGAGGTAGGACTGTGTATTGGGAATGATTAGGAATTGGAGAGAAGGACTTGGATATCTCTGGGCTAGGAAGGGTAGGAATATCACACCACCTGCAATGGTGGGTTTTGGTGCCCTCCCCTTTTCTTGGCTCTCCATCCCCAGGCTTTGTCTAAGTGACTTCTAAGCAGTGGTCCTTTGGAGGGGAAGTGAACAAGCACATGGGTGGTTCTAAGTCTCCAGCACTCTCTCCTGATCTGTGGCAGTTACTGAGAGCTTTGATCTGTGATCCTGTGGCCCCAGCCCTGAAAGGCATCCAGCAGAGTAACTGGGAAGCTAGGGGTCATGAACTTACTGCTAATCGTATAATTTTAGTCACCGGAGGGAAACGTGAGCACAGTAGGATTAGAGCCATTTCTCAACAGCAGCCCTACAGTGATGGGGGTTGGTTCTGTTCATTGCAGGATGAGAGTTCTTCCCTGGCCTGCTGGATGTTTAGAGCACCCCTTAGATGCCAGCCACAGGCTCCCCTACATATTACAACCAACAGTGTCTCCCTCCAAATATTACCAAATGACCCCAAGGGAATGGGGGAGGGGAGACTGACCCTGATTAAGAACCACCTGGTTAGAGATACAGGTGCCCGCACAGGCTAGTTAGTGTGCACACATAGCATGGTGTATATAGCTTTCTTGACTCAGTGTGGGGAATGGAACTTTATGCTTCAGACTTTTTTCCTTTTTCTCTTTTTTTTGGTGCAGATCCTGGGGCTTGAACTCAGGGCTCAGTGCTCTCAGTTTTGTTTTTGCTCTACCACCAAACCATGCCTCCACCTTTGGCTTTTTGCTGCCTAATTAGAGATAAGTCTTGAAGTTTTGTCTGGCCAGGCTGACTTCAAACTTCAGTCCTCAGATCTCAGCCTCCCAAAGTAGCTAGGATTATAGGCATCAGGCACCAACACCTGGCCCCTGTGTGTGTGTGTGTGGGTGGATGGAGAGGGTGAGTGCCCATCCTGAGGCTTGAACTCAGGGCCTGAGCACTGGCCTTGAACTTGTTTTACTCAAGGCTAGCCACAGTTCTATTTTGGCTCTTTTGGCAGTTTGTTGGAGATAAGCATCTCAAAGACTTTTCCTGCCTGGACTGGCTTTGAACCACAATCCTCAGATCTCAGCTTCCTGAGTAGCCAGGATTATAAGCATGAGCTACCAGCCTTTGCTCTCCTTTGCTTTTATAGGTGGTTTTTGTTTGTTTTCATCTGAATAGGAAACATAGCTTTGATTATGACTCTTACTTTGTAGAATTGTCTATAACCTAAAACCTTTAAAAAGAGGGATGATAATGCCAACCACTATTGAACACTACTTTGTGCTTGACACTCACCTGAGCACTTTAACAAATTCATATAAGAGGAAGGCATGTTATGCCTGTTTGACAGGTGAGGAAACTGAATCACAGGGTTGTGATTGGGTGAACCTCGCTTCCATAATGTTTGATACAGTGAATCAGGATTCAGGCCTCATCTCTCCAATGCCCATGTTTGTCTTCCTGTCTTATGCACTGTACCTCCTTCCTTTTTTTCCTGGATAAAACCTACATGATCCCAACAGGTGCCCTTCCAATCCTTGACTCAGGCATTTGACAGCATCATGCTCCTGTGCAGTGAAATCAGGCACAGTGTATAGCTTAACGAAGACAACAAGTTGAATCACCAGACATGCAGCCCACAGCTGACCCTGACTGGAGGCCTGTGTCTTCTTGTGTCCTGCAGAGTGTCTTTATGTGTTTCCCTGCCAGTGGAACTACCGTCCAGACCACTGCATGTACGGGAGCAACTGCAAAGAGGCTGAGCGCGAAGGCGTGTCGGTGGTGCATGGGAACCGGGGTGTCTACCATGACGACAAGCAACCAACTTTCAAAGCGCTCTATGAAGCAATACGAGACGTAAGTGTACCCTGTCCAGAGACACGTACTTATGAGCATGGCATTATGTCAACAGGCCTTTCGCAGGCCATCTATTCCCAAAGATAACTCCTGTGCGATTTGCCATCATATGGAAAAGAAATACAAGAAAAATGCTATTCAAACTTGGTGCTGGTGGCTCATGCCTGTAATCCTAGCTTACTTAGGAGGCTGAGCTCTGAGGATTGTTGTTCAAAGTCAGCCTGAGCATGAAAGTCTATGAAATTCTTATATGTGATTAACCACAGAAAAGCTGAAAGTAGAGCTGTGGTTCAAGTGGTAGAGCATAAGCCTTAAGAGAAAAAGCGAGGGGACAATGCCCAGGCACTGAGTTCAAGCCTCAGAAGCAGTGTAATGTGTGCACATGTACACGCACGTGTGCGTACACACACAATGCAGACACAGTTCCATATATTGCCTGATTGCCAGCTCTAACCCCTTGAGCTATCAGGTTCAAGGTGGGTTATTGGAAAAAAGAGCCAGCCTGGCACTGCCTGGCTTATGCCTTGTGTTCCTAGCTACTCAGCAGGCAGAAATCTGAAGAGTCATGGTTTGAAGCCAGTCAGGGCAGAAAAGTTCTTGAGACTCTATGTCCAAAAGTAACCAGCCAAAAGCCTGACTTGAGGTGTGGCTTAAGTGGCAGAGTGTCAGCTGAGTAAGCAAGCTGAGCAAGCTGGAGGTCTAGAGTTCAAATCTTAGTACTCAAGAAAAATAAATGGAGGAACCAAACTAAAAATAGCAATGACATCTTTTACTCATTTACCCCGTAACAGCATGAGCAAGAGTAAAAAAGAGGTGCCCCCTCCCCAGTGCTCCAGGCACAGGGTGAAGGTCACGTGATGCCCCACAGATAGTGGGAATCTCCTTATGTGCAAGGAGCCCCAGACAAATGGAATCCACATGTTTCTAGCCCTGTGGGCCAGAGAGAGAGGGAGGAGAAGGGGAGAAAGGTAGGTATTGAGTCAAAATGGAAGAAAGGCACCCCAATAAGGAAGCCCCGAAACAGGCCTATGAATGCAGACTTGAAGATAAGCATGGCTAGCCCAGGGCAGAAGCCTGAGCCTTTGTCTGTGATGCCCTCAGGAACTGTGCAGCACTGAGCCTGTCAGGCAAGTCCTGTGATAGCCTGTGAATCTGAAAGATCATAGCCACAGTTCCCCATCCTTGGTTTTGCTTGCCATACTTTCAGTTACCCTAGCTAACTACAGTCCAGATATATTCAGAGGAAAATTCCAGAAAGAGTGGATTAGTTTTAAATTGTGTATTGTTCTGAACAGCATGATGATGTCTCATGTTATCTGCTCTGTACTGATCACATTGCCAACGTATCCACCCTGTATTCCTTTTCCTCCCATTAGTCATTTGACAGCCATTGGTTCAGGTCTAATTACAGTTTCAAGCACCCTCTCAGAGGCTGAGAGTATCCCCCATCATATTGTACCAAGTTTTGTGGGACCTCTAGATCTGCTCTCCTTAAAGAGATGGATCAGCTAATGTTAAGCAAGATTTAGACATACATGAGGTCAGGCAGGGGTGGCTCATGCCTGTCATCCTAGCTACTCTGGAGGCTGAGATCTGCAGATTACAGTTCAAATCCAGATTGGGCAGGAAAGCCCACAAGTCTCTTGACCACCAGAAAACCGGAAGTAGAGCTGTGGCTCAAATGGTAGAGTGCTAACCTTGAGCAAAAGGAAGTGATAGCACCCAGGCCTGAGTTCAAGCCCCGGTACTGGCATAACAAATGTAATAAAATCAAGACATGTGAACTATCTTCTTGCAGCAAACGGGAAGGCTAATGTAATTTTACTTTGTGATTCACCTCCTAAAGTCTTTTGTGTTCCACACTTGGGGAAATGCTGCATTCCCTGAGCTTTCTAGGAGAAAATGAGCAACAGATACTGCTACCTTCCTGAGACTAGAATTCCAAAACAAAGAGCAGGGAGAAGCATCCATGGACCAAATCTGCTTCGTTGCCTGCATTTTTGTAAGACCTGTAGGCTATTAATAGTTTTAAATAGATGAGAAAATTAAGAGAAGAATTTTATAGTGTGAAAAAATTGTATATGAGATTGAGATTTTAGTATTCTACACATGGAGTCCCCAAAGACACAGTATACGTATCCATTCACCCCATCTCCAGTGAGTACCAACAGAGACTGTAGTGTTCACAAAGTCAAAAATATTGGCTAAGCCCCTTCGTAGGGAAAGCTTACCAGTTTGACATAAAGTATACAGACCCCATTAGAGTTTTAGGGAGTACAGCACTGGGGTTTGAACTCAGGAACTTGTACTTGCTAGACAATTTGTGCCATTTCCCCGGCCCTTTTTTGTTTTAGTTTTTTTCTTTTTTCAGGTAGGATCTCACACGTTTTACCTGGGAGTCAGCCTCAGACTATGATCAACCTACCTCTGCTGCCCAGATAGCTGGGATTATAAACATGAACCACCATAGCCTGCCTTTTGATTGAGATGAGATCTTTCTAACTTTTACCCCGGCTTGCCTTGAACCATAATCTTTCCATCTCTACCTTTCCAGTAGCTGAAACTACAGGTATGTGCTTGGCCCTAGAGATTGTTTTCTTGAAGATCTAGGAACCTACAAGGTTTCTAAACAGGCTTTGTCAGAAATGAGGTAGGGAAGAATCTTTGTCACAGTAACATTTTTGGGGGGTACTTGTGAAAATGCATTTTGCCAGAGAACTCTAGCTCAAGAAACCTTGGGAGTTGTTTTCACTGCAGGAGAAGAGCTAAGCATGCACCTATACTTCTTCCTTCTTCTATGTGTCCTGCTGTTGGGGTTTCAAAGGTCAGGTGGTTACATTACATGGAAAATCTCTTCTGCACTGTGGCATTCTCCTACTTGGACACCCTTACACTGATGAGTAGGGGCAGAGCAGCCCCCTGCAGGGCTGCTCTAAGGTGCCATGATCTGGCAGCCCAGGTTTGGAATTGAGCAACTATGGTTCTTGTTTTCCTGTGGTTTGTTTTCTGTGGGATCAGAAAGAGGATCAAATAACAGCTTTATAAAGGAGTCTGTCTGTGCACTCCGTCTATTCATTCAGGCATTTCAACCAGGACAATCACTAATCCCAAATCAATGTGTTACACAGATACTGTCGAAAAAGATGTGTTTCCTAGCTTGGTGCCAGTGTGAATGCCTATAATCCTAGTTACTCAGGAGGCTGAGATCTGGAGGATCGTGATTTGAAGCTAGACCGGGCAAAAACGTTCAAGAGATTCCATTTGAAAGAAAAAAAAAGAAAAGGAGAGAAAAAGAGAGAGAAAGGAAGGAAGAAGAAAGGAAGGAAGGAAGGAAGGAAAGAAGGAAGGAAGGAAGGAAGGAAGGGAAAAAATGGGGGAGTTGGACTTCTTTCAGGGAAGCCCTGCAGGAGAGTGACAGGCTCTGATTTATGTTTGAAAATGTCACCTCGGTGTTTGGTGACAGGGGCACAAGCATGGAACACAAAGACTTTGTGAGACCAACTGCAGTCACACAGACAGGAGTGGGGGCCGGCACTGGCTTGCATGAAGGCAGGAGTTCTCGGAGAGGCTGTGCTTTTTGCTTTTTGTTTTTGGTCAGTCGTGGGGCTTGAACTCTGGGCCTGGGCACTGTCCCTCAGCTCTTCAGCTCAAGGCTAGCACTCTACCACTTGAGCCACCGTGCCACTTCTTGTTTTCTGGTGGTTAATTGGAGATAAGATTTTAGAGGCCTTTCCTGCCTGGGCTGGCTTTGAAATGGGATCCCCAGATCTCAGCCTCCTGAGTAGCTAGGATTATAGGTGTGAGCCACCAGCGCTGGGCAGGGGCCGTGTTTTTGTTATGTAGTCAGACAAAGTTTCAGAACTTGGTGATGGGTTTGCATGTAGGCATGAGGAGGAAAGGAGTGAAAGGTGGCTACCAGGGTTCCACCCTGGCTGGAAAAGACAGATTGAGGTCTGTCCTTGAGGAGCATTATCACTGGTCTAGGTTGTGCTGGGAACGAAAGAGTATCCTCAGGCTAGTCTAGGACAGAAACTTCTTGCAGAGCATCTGTATGCTCAGGCTGGAAAGAAACTTGTGTTGCTGATAAACAATACTGCAGCAGTATTTCTGCTGAACTTTAAAAGCTCTGACGTTTTCTAGGAAAACAGACAGGCCCCCATTATCCTCTCAGGCATCCTGCCTCTTTTCTGGCTCCTCCCCACCTTCTAGTCTTTTCATATAAAAGGTCCATAGTGACTTGATCTACTAGCAGTCTCTCCTCTTTCAACAAGCCTAGAAAAAAATTTTTTTTGGGTGGGGGCGGGGGGGGGGCCGGTCGTGGGCCCTGAACTCTGGGCCTCGGCGCTGTCCCTCAGCTCTTCAGCTCAAGGCTAGCACTCTACCACTTGAGCCACAGCACCACTTCCGGCTTTTTTTTTCTTTTTGCTTATGTGGTGCTGAGGAATCGAACCCAGGGCCTCAGGCATGCAAGGCAAGCGCTCTACCACTGAGCCACCTTCCCAGCCCCTAGAAAAAAATTTTGATACCTGTTCATGACTCAGTTCAAAAGATTTATTTTAGAAAACACTTCTCATGCACATAGCAACAACAAAATATCCAGCTAGTGCCTCTGGCTCATGGATTGTAGTTCAAGGCCAGCCCAGGCAAAATGTTGGTGAGACCCTCATCTCTACCAATAGTTCAGCATGGTGGTGCATGCTTGTCATCCTAATATTCAGATGACTTAAACCGCCTGGCTCCCCCATGTCGTTTGTTAGTAAAAGTGGTTTATGTTTTACAACAGCAGTTCAGTAACTATACTTTTTTTTTCTTTACCATCTTTCAGTTTCCCTTTCAAGACAATCTCTTTCAATCCATGTATTACCCGCTCCAGCTGAAGTTTTTGGAGACGGTGCACACTTTATGTGGCCGCATCCCCCAGGTGTTCCTGAAGCAAATTGAGAAAACGATGAGAAGAGCTTACGAGAGACATGTCATCATCCACGTTGGTCCCAATCACATGCACTGAGCATTTCATCTTGTCACCGTGGACATATGGGTCTTTATGCTACCTGGCTCTTTTCGTGTGTGATTGATCATTGAATGGTACTCCATGACTGTTGAGTTTTAAAAGCCTTGTTAAACATTGCTTAATTCATGACCCCTAAAATGGAATAAGCCTTTCTTTGACTTTATTTTTCTAAAATCCTATTTATCTCTGTTCAATCATTGAAAAAACAAATAGGACCAGGTGTGGTGGTACCTGCCTTTAATTCTGCTACTCGGTAGGAAGATTGTGGAAGCCAGGCCAGGGAAAGTTTGCATGAGCCCCTCTCTGGAAAACAAACAGAAAAGCAAAAGGCCTGGGGGATAGGGCACGATGGTATAGCCCTGAGTTCAATCTCAGTACCATTAACAACAACGTAACATTAACAAAAACAACCCTCATTATTATGGACTTAGCATTGCTCCAGCAGACTTCTTAAGCTGTTAAATGGGAACTTTTCCAAGCCTTCCAACTCCTGTTTAGTGTTGGAGACACCATTTCAGTGGTATGCTGGGTGTGACATTTATCTAGCATTCCCACACTCTTTTTATGTAGTTGACTTCCTCATACACCCTTGTTGTAAAAAGTAGTACTTACATAAAAAACAAACAAACAAAACTTGTGGAGACTCTAGGTCATGGGCAAAACTCAAGAGGAGATTAGACATAATTCTACCAACCCGTGGGAAAGATTTAATATTTTTAATGTATTCCTTCCAGACTCCCTTCCTGAACTCCCATTTCCTAAACTCCTTCTGCATTTTCTGTTATTCCAAGTATTTTAAACAGGTTATCTCCATAGAAGCCACCTTCTGTGCTGAGATTTTTTTATGCAGGAGTCTAAAACATTAGATGCGGATTCTTATGTCTGCAGCATTCTTACAATGTGAGAAGTGTTTACATTTTAGCCAGTTGGGCAGTGTATCTGAAGGTATTTATTTTAAAACTTGCTTAGATTTGCAGAGGACTCAATTGTAAGAAATTTCTATGCAACAATAGCTTCTGAAAGAAATTCATTAACTGTGTTGAGTCCCTGGGGGAAATTCTTTAGCCAAGAACTGTGACTCTGCATTCTGCCACAGACAGACAAAAACATTTGATTTCTAAAGTTGTCTCTAGGTGTGCTCCTGTCTCTTTTGTGAAGAGAAATTCAAGAACTTCAAAATTTATTGTGCTCAAATAGTTCAGATAATTTCATTGACATGAAATTTCAACTTCCTACCAATCTGAGAAAAGCCTCTTTTTTTTTTTTTAAAGTTTTTTCTAGGGCTAACCAATGTTAACCAAGAAACCTTGCAGGCCTTAAGCATCTTGCTATAGTAGAAGTGTCTTCTATTTGCCAAAAGGATCTGAAGTCAACTCTAGTACCTGCATGGGGACATTTTACATAATTCTTTTGGGTATGTGTGTGCTGGTTCTGGAGCTTGAACTCAGGGCCCCTTAGCTTTTTTTGCTCAAATATAGTGCTCTACCACTTGAGCCATAGCTCCACTTGTAGCTTTTGAGGGCTGGGGGTAGGGGTGATTAATTGGAGGTTAAGAGTCTCATGGACTTTGCTGCCCAGGTTTGTCTCTGAACTGTGATCCTCAGATCTGTCTCTTGAGTAGCTAGGATTACGGGCATGAGCTACCAGCACTCAGCTGATAATACTTTATCCCAAATGACTTTTGCATAACTGATTACATTGATGTCTCCAATAGCCTAGTGAACTGAGAAGAGGCCTCTGTCATCTCTGTTAAGATAAATAAGGAATTTGTCACCCAAAGAAATGAGCACACCAGAGAGAATCCTCTGCCATCTGAAGCTCTGTGGCTGCCGGCCTCTTAGGGAGGGGGCTCCTTTCTCTCCTCTGGGCCTGAGAGGGAGAACATGAGCACAGTAAGAACACTGCCTGGGTCCTGAAAGTGGCAGGTGGTGGAGTGGGACATTAAGACTGTAGGATCGGGGCCTGATTTTAAGCTGAACCAGGATGTGGTGGTTCTTCCGGTGCGAAATTTTAGATTTTGCTGGGTCTTCCCGTAGGAGCTGTGATAAACTGTGCTGATAACACTGGAGCCAAAAACCTATATATCATCTCTGTGAAGGGGATCAAGGGAGATAACTGAACAGACTTCCTGCTGCTGGTATAGGTGACATGGTGATGGCTACAGTCAAGAAAGGCAAACCAGAGCCAAGGAAGAAGGTGCATCGCAGTGGTAATTCGACCACGAAAGTCATACTGGCGAAAAGATGGTGTGTTCCTTTATTTTGAAGCTAATGCAGGTGTCATAGTAAACAATAAGGGGGAGGTGAAAGGTTCTGCCATCACAGGACCTGATGCAAAGGAATGTGCAGACTTGTGGCCTGGAGTGCGTCTAATGCAGGGAGCATCGCATGATCCTTCTGTGCATTTGTAAAAATCTAATAACGCATTAAAAAGGATTTCTTCTCAGAAAAAAGAAATGAGCACACCACTATAATTACTTGTTTATAAGACAGGTCTGGGTATGATGCGTCCTGTTTTTCAAGGAAAGTTGTTGGAAATAAAAACATCAAATACCTTCTAGTATATATAGAAGGTAATCCGAAGGTGTAAAACCAAATATATTATTTTGTTGTTAATATCAATACGGTAGTTTACATATCAGAATCCAGTCAATCATAGGTGCTGTATCAGCAGAAAATGTCATGGGGTCCGGGGATGAAATCTCAAAGTTCAGAGAAATGTTAAGGGTATTCTATTCATATTAGTATTAAAAACCTACAGTAGTCACAAATTTAAATCTAAAGGATAAAGGTCATACCCATTCTTTCCTTTGACCATTTGGGGATCCTCTGCTTAGTTTTGTTAGGAAAACAGTCACTATGACGTGAAAATCTTACATTTCCTCATTTTGGCCAGTGGTGACACCATTCATTATTCTGTCTGTGTCTTTTGGGCTAAGATAGCACATAGACTATGAGTGCAGAGATCTTGAATCTCCTATAAAGATTTCAAAAACAACAATGCTTTTTCTTTCATGACAACCAGGTTTACTCACAACTCTCTTATATAGGTGTCCACTGCATACATGAGCATGATTGCCAGCAAAGATCAATGATAGAATTCTAGAATATTCTAGAATGATAAACTATGCATCTATGACACTTTAGAACAGGGTATGATTTTCCACCCTGGAATTCCTATAGTGTAGCCCGAAATTAATTATTTAATATGCTGTATCTTTTAATTTAATAGGCTGTAGCTTGTCTGCCTTTGGTTAACTCCCAGGAAAAGCTTTTGAAACTTTTGAAAAGCCATAAAATTTAAAACGTAATCTATGATTTGAAGTTTGCCAAAGGTTAGGCTTCAGTCCCATCAGTCCTATGAATTTATATTGGGAAGAACATGGGTGGGACCTCTTCTCTTCTCTTTTGTCCTTTTTTTCCTCCTCTCCTCTCCTGTCTACTCTCTTCCTGTCCCTTCTTTTCTCTCCCTTCTCTCTTCTGGTATCCACCCTTTTCAAATTCTGTTTCATGTAACAGTGGAACTCCAACATGAACTCAGGGCCTTGTACTCTCACTTAGCTTTTTTGTTCATGGCTGGCATTCTACCACTTGCGCCTTCCCTCTAATTCTAGCTTTTGGCAGGTTGATTGGAGATAAAAGTCTCTGGGTCTTTTTTTTTTTTTTTTGCCTAGGCTGGCTTTGAACTGAGATCTTCAGACCTTAGCCTCCTCAGTGGCTAGGATTATAAGTGTGAGCCACTAACACTTGGTGGGACCATAGTTTTGTATGCATTGAAACCAAAGCTTCCAGTAGCAATCACTAGAAAATACTGATGATATTTTCCTTGCCATTTTATCCCAGAAAATGTGACTTACATTGAAATTTTTAACATTTAAAATTTTAACTGGCAACAAAATCAATTTGCATTTTTCCTCAACTTCTAAAATGACAATTTGGCATTTGGGCATGGTGCTGTAAGTTTTATTCAGTGCTTTCCTGTGAGTTTTGACTTGCACTGAATTTGGTATTGACATGGGTAAGTATGTGGACTTATTTCTTTTATTGCAATTATGCTCATGAGCAAAAATAAAGAAGCAAGCCAAACCATGCACAGTCGTTTATATTATAATTCACAGTGATTGATCACAAAATTATTCCAAACCTGCCCTGCAAATAGAACAACGTTCAAACAAATTTGACTTATGTGTAAACATTGTCTGGTATTTATGCATGGCATGTGTTTAATTAACCAAAGAGAACATGATTTCATGACCAAGTTCATTAATACGCTGAGTTTCATGAGAACACCTACCATTAACAGTCTTATGGCTGGCAACTTTTCTCATATTTTGTTTCTTTCCCATTTTTTCACATTCTTTTCAATTTTCCTTTCCCTTTCCATCTCGGATGTAAACTTCTGAGTTGTATATGAAACTGGGCTTTTGTGACCAAGTGACAGAATTTGGGGATCTCTTTGCAGGCAGTTCTAATCCTTAGATCAAATCTTCATGATAAGAATGTTCTAGAAATTCAAGAGAGAGAAAAAAATCAATCAACCCATCATGCACATGCGCGTGTTGCACATTTGTCATACCTGTGAAATAAAGAATTATATCTACATCTTAGGTCAAATCATTTTACAGTGACATTGTTGGTATTTAAAACGAACGAGATTTCTCTGGCAAAGAGATGAGAGCTTTGCCCTAGTTTTTGTTTTTCACAAGGCAAAACTGGAAATATGCTCTTAAGTCTTCAAGATGAAGCATTTGTGTACGTTCACTTCTGAACGTGGAAGGATCCAGTGTGACTTCTGCCCCAGCAGGCTTGCGCATTTGTGTTATCACTGATGAAAGACAACCATTGCTTTAAGTCTCAAGGAGACCCTGAATGCAATTTTTTTTGGGGGGGTCCGGTCGTGGGGCCTGAACTCTGGGCCTGGGCGCTGTCCCTCAGCTCTTCAGCTCAAGGCTAGCACTCTACCACTTGAGCCACAGCGCCACTTCTGGCTTTTTTCTTTTTGCTTATGTGGTGCTGAAGAATTGAACCCAGGGCCTCATGCATGCAAGGCAAGTGCTCTACCACTGAGCCACCTTCCCAGCCCTCTGAATGCAATTTTTAATGTTGGAAAACTGTTTGAAAAGGCTTTTGTTTGTCCTGGGTGGCTAATTCCTGTAATCCCGAGGATAGCAGTTCAAAGCCAGACTGGGCAGGAAAGTCT